TATGAATAAATTGTTAATGTAGGTCTTCAAATTCATTTCCATTTCGTACAAAGACTACGTTTTTTCCTCCACTTCATTTGTCAAAGTCAAAAACGAGAATTTGAATAATGCATGGCAGGTAAAAGATTACTACCTCCTCAAACATTTGTTGGAAGTTCCACAAATCAAAATATGATAAATAAAATAATAGGTGAGTTATGTCCTCTTCTCGTAAGAGATCCTCACTTCAATCTCAGGAATACTTTTCTTCTTTAAGCAACTTTCGATGTCACCAATAGCCAGTTCAATTGTAAGTCCACATAAAATGAAAAGAAAAATTAACATCTTGGATATTGATTTTGGAACTTCACACTCAAATTCATATCTTAAAATCTCAAAGCTGATAACAAGTTTAAAACTAAAGGCTGATGATGCTGTTAAACTATTAGACAAAAACCATTCCCAAAAGTCATTTCATTAGAATAAATTAAAGTGTAATTCGTGTTAATGTCCCAGAAGAGTGAAACTCATAAAATAAAGAGTCTAACAGTCAAGCCTTTTACAAGAAAGGAGATTTTTACTTTAAAAAAAGAAGAAAAGCATGTCCCCTTTTTCGTTGTATTCAAGGTTATACCTTTTGATATTACAACTTTAAAATAATAGGTAGCTCCTTTGATCAACCACTGCAGAGTACAGAACAATGAGACAAACACATGTATAATTGGAAACAGTCAATTTTGATCAAATCAGATAAAATTATTGTCTTGGAAATAGCAATTAAGAATGGTTTTATTAGGAAACCGAAGATTAGCTAGAGATTGGTTCAATGGCATACAGAATGACACACTTGTATACAGTACTGAAAGCAAACCGTGGTAAAATATTAGATGATACAGGAGGGATGACCTAAGCTATTTTGCATTTAAATGGCTGATTATTATAATATGGATGACACATTTGATGACTGTGTCATCTCAATAATAAACAGGCTTTACCTACAACACTTCAAGCATCTTTAACGTAATTATGGAATTTATAATTCCTTTTACTTCTCGTGATTATCAAAATCTGCACCTAAATCTAACAGAATGTCTTTTTGTTGATCAATCTATACACAAATAACCCTCTTTGTTTTGAATCCATTTACGTCACATTATACATTAATTAAGTTTATTACTAACTTGCCAATAAATTTGCTCTGTAGCTTGTTAATATCCCTCAACTTGCTAATAAAAGATAATTACCCTATATTTTGGAAAAGGAAGGAGTAAGTAAATAGTTGGAGATGGATAAATGAAAATATCCCCACGTCATCACAACAAAAATAAATTGTAAAATACTTAAACAAATATTAAAAAATATTTCAAGTACTAAAGAAGAAATTTTATACAACTCAATGTAAAATACTCAAATTATAATATACGTAAATATTAAAAATAATTTAAATAGCTTTTTTTTCTAACTTAACAAATTAATATATATATAGTATATATATACATATAGATAAAGATATATATAGATATATATATATATATAATATACTAATAAGATATAGAATAATATAGAATATATATATATATAATTATATATATATATATATATGTATGTATATTTCTTTGCTTTCTATATATTTTTTTTGTTTTTCCCTTTCATATTACAATATTATAGGAACGGGGTCTTTACTTGAGAGACCTTTCAAAATGTCAAATATTATATAAACTATTTGGATTAAAACAATGAGAAATATTTCAGTCAAATGATCATCTTTGACGCTGAAAACTATTACAACTTAACTATTAAAATGTCTGTCTATGTTAAAGTTATAAATTACAATTTCAAGCACCGTTTTTTCAAAACCATGAACTTGAAATAAAAAAACTAATATGTTTATTCTCAACTTGTTTGCATTTATTATTTGTTTTTGGATCCTTCAGAAGTATAAGAATCAACACTTGTTTGAAATGTGAAAACAATTATATGTACTTTTAGTTGGAAACAAAAAGTTTGCTCTTTGTAATAAAATATTGTTAACTGCTCATATTTTTATTTTAAACTCATTCATTCTCATTATTTAAATGTATGTAGATAATAATAGAAAAGATTATAGTTAGAAAAAATTGGAAGACGAAAGTTCTCAATACTGATCCAATGTTATTGAAATAGAAAAACAACAATGGTACTTTTTGAAGTCAATACAAGATGTTTAATGACTATAGTTTTTTAACAGTTTAAACAATAACCTTTTATATATATATATATATATATCATATATATATAATATATATATATAATTTTCTTGTTCACGAGATATTTAATTTTAACACATTTATTTAATGTGTTTGTATTTTTGTGTTTATTTAACTTATTGTAATTTTATGATCAATTGTAAACTCAATCTGTGAAACATTTAAAATATATTGTAACATGTACGTAGTTTTTTTTTTTAAGATTTTGTTTATGCAAACTAAGTCATATATCCGCAACCCAATTATTACGTATGACAAACTAACAAAATTAATTCACAATTTTTATACAAGTTGTTCTACTCTAACCTATTTTGTGGGGACCAAATGCCAAAATGTTAAATGAGACCGATCAAACCACATTATTATTTCTACTTGATTCGTTTAAGGTTTGATTTAACTTTTATTCGTTTAATAAAAAAATTATATTTCAACTTTTAAAAAGAATAATTAAATAAAATAAATTTGACCTTAAAAGAAACTTATTAATTTTGTGTTTTATAATTAGGTCTACTGACCTTCTTAACTTTTTGGCTTATTTAATTGTTAACCAGTTTACATGTTAACATATTTACATGTTATAATATAAAGAACTACAAGAAAATTTTATTACATCTGTAGGTAAGAAAATCTTTTAGTTTTTCTATTGATCCAATATATATATATATATATATATATATTATATATATATATATATATATATATATATATTATCTGTAATGCTAGATGCATATTTTATCGCAACAAATACTTCAAGTAATTCTTGGTGGACTGTCGATAGTTGGACAAACTATAATAAAAAATCAAGATTCAAGAGTTTTTCAAGAAGCTTTGAAAAAGAAAATAAAATAGAAAAAAAGATTAAAGTGGAGAAAAACAACAGTAATTGTTACAAATAAACTAAGATACAAGAAAAAGAAGTTAGATTTAAACACTTGAAATTCAAATTAAAGTTTTACAAGGGGGAAAGAGACTTGTTATAAATACTTTTATGTTTCACACACATATACAATATATATATATTAATATATAATATATATATATATATATATATATATATATCATTGTTGACAAGAGTAAAATAATTATAAAAAAATAAATTTTTATATTTTCTTAAAGAAGAAAAAGTAAAAAAAAAAATAGTATGAAATGAATGTAATTTTTTTTGTATATGTATCATATTATCTAATTACAAAGAAGGTATCTGAAATATTTGAAAATATGCTCATGATTTATTAGTTTAGATATTAATTTATTGTTTCAAGAGTACAAATTTAAAAAGTTTATCTTTAAATTATATACAAACAAAAAACCATCTTTTTTATTTGTTTATCTTTCTATATTTTATTGTGATATGTTTTGTCTTGATGATAGATTATAGTGATTCTGCATGTCATAGGTGGTGGTTTGTCAACATCAAGAATTTAAAACCGACCAACAAATTAGAACAAACCTTTTCAATATTTGGTATTATGCATTGGAGCCGACAATAAGGCACTGCACTGCAATGCCTCAATGATTTTTACATACCTCCTAATACACGGGAAGAGTCACTAGCTTCACCACCTACTTTGATGCTAAAATTATTATGTTTTAGGCTACTTTTATACACACAAATTTTATGATTTTAGGATTATCATTGGAATTTATTTCGAACATACCATACTCTTACTCTTTCTCATTCACCTTTATTGTTTGCTCGGTTTTCCATTTTCTAGGGTTATCATTTTTTCCATGTAATTGATAATACAATTATATGTGTTGTAATGTTAAGAAGTTTGAAGAAATAATTATTTATAATTTTCTAATGTAATTCCCACATCTAATTCGACATTATCAAATAAATTAGTGATTAAAAACGCAATTATTTTTTTTAAATATGCATTGTAAAACTTCTAGACGATGTGGGAGTAGCTGAATTGTGAGTTGTTATTATATTTTATCAGATAAAATTGTTACATCAAGAAAATGACAAGACACATTGATGGAGAATCAATCAAGGGACTAAAAATTATCAAGTTTTAATTAGTGATAAAAGATACATTTTTATGACGTTTTGAGAATATATATATATATATATATATATATATATCATAGTTATATATATATATATATTATAATTCTAATTAAAAACGTTTTCTCAAACTAAACCGACTAAAGATTTTGATTGAATATATGAAGTTACCTTGGGTTGTTGTGACAACTCTACCTTAAACTTCATAATCAAGGAGACACGCTTTCAACCGCATGCTAACTCTCCATATTAATTTGGCCACTGGTTTTGGCCCAAAACCAAAAACCACGAGTCAATATTTTAATATTTTCTGAATAAAAAAAAAAAAAAAACCTTAACATCGTCATCACATCTCGATCATAAAAGACTGTGTTCCACAATTCAACCTTATCCCAAAAGAACTTTTCAACGATGTATAAATCATCCAATTTCCTTCTCTCATGAAAGAAATACGTTACATGTTTTTTTAAAACAAATAAACCCTAAACTTAGTTCACGTTATTAACATTACATTCAATATAAAATTTTAACACAATAGATTAACGGTCCTTATATATTATTTAATTTTATGATGTTTATTCTTTTGTAAGATTTATATCTTTAATAACAAGAAAGTCTGGATTGACAGAATTTTCTAAAGTGGTATCAGATATCAGAACAATGATGAATATTCCCACAATTCAAACATGAGTTGATTTATTCATTGAAAACCTCCATAGCCTGTTTTGGTACCTCGTAATCCTCTAGGATGTCTGAATGGATACTCCGAAAATATAATTTACACAAAGCTTTAATGAGTGTGAGTCAAGAAATAGCACAAGCATTAGGGTTCTCTTCAGCACTCTGAACATAATAGTATGTGGTCATGTGGGGATTGTATGCTTTGTAGAGTTTGACAAGCTCCTCAATCTGTTGATTTGGATCTTTCTTCTTCTCATCATCTTTCTTCTTGTTATCGTCTTTCTTCTCTTCATCTTTCTTCTTCTCTGCCTCTTTTGCCGGCCCAACAGTCACAATTTCTGTGTGCCAACTTTTTCTCAATTTGCTCACCACACTCACAGGGTCTATGTCTCCCACTACAGTCAGTTTCTTCTCCTTCATGTCCATCGAGATCGAATCAATACCTGCATATTCAAATTATCCTATCATCACAAATTCTCTCATTTATTCTCTGCATTTCACCACCATCAAACCTCTTCTTTTTTAAAAATCTTCGTTAGCTACATCATCACGACATGGATCATAATAGAAAAATTTTAAAACTAAACAATGTTTTAAGGAATTTATAATTAAGAAACAACTTTAAGCCGTCCATTTTACTAATTAAGGAACACTGTTCTTGTTCTGAGTGGCAAGTAGAAACAAAATAAACGTCCATTCCTGGATTATCCCCTTTTCCTTTTATATTGGCAACATGCTTTGTCGAAAGCCATTCTCACTAATTAATGGGAAAAATTGTTCCAAATCAATATTTATATATATTGAATGCATCCTAATGGTCCAATCCCTACAGTTAGAAATTGCATTAAAAAGGAGAACTTAGATGATTTTTTCTAATATTATCAAAATTATAATTTAAACCCATAAGCTACCAAAGTAAGATCTTAAATCAGTACCTGGCAGGCTAGAAACCGATTTCATGGCCTTCTGCTTTGCTTTTTCATCGTGCAAATCCAATTTCACCACTACTTTCTGCAACAAAACAACAAAATCTAGGTTTAAGCTCGTAACAATAATCACCAATTAAGATTAAAGCATGTTTAAGCTCTTTTCTTTTTCTGTGTTTGTATAAGCTAGGGAAAGATGAGATGTGAAATTATATTGTGACTGACATATGCAGTATGGTACAGAATACAATAATCTGCATCAAGTATGATAGCCTTTAAATAAAATATGTATGAAACAAGTTAGAAAATGGGTATATTGAAGTGATCATTCTTGTTTAAAGGAAGAATGATGAGAAAGGGACACAAACTTATGAAAGGCAAAACAAAAATAAAAACATATAACATTAGAGAGAAACAAAAGATATAACATATGAAGTGCATAAGGAACTGAACTTTCAATAAGATTAGGAAATCTGACCTTCATTTAGAAATTGGTCTTAGTTTTGACAATGAGTGAAGAGTGTTTGAGGAAGAAAGGAAGAAGCAGAGAAATTAGCAGTGCAATTTCAGTGTTGGGTTGGGGCAAAGTTTATGTGGAGGATGGACTATTTCCTATGCATCAACCTTGTTATTATATAATATAAACATCAAAACAAGTCAAACAAGTGCCTTCTTAGTTAATTGTTTTTTGGGTAAACTAACATTTTAGACCATTTTCAATCCAATAACTCCTTTAAGATTCTTAAATCAACCCTTCATGTTAACATCACTCATTTTTATTTTAAAACTTCCTAAGTATTACATAAATCTCTCTAATCCAACACCTCCTAGAAAAAGTTACCACGTGCTTCCACCAATAACTCCACATTCTAGCATTTAATCTTAATTTAAATATTACCTTTAATTGTTCGTTCAGAAAACAGAGCAATTCATCAATTAAAAAATATAAAAAGTTTAAGTTTCGGTAAGAAGTGCATCATCTAAAACTATGTTTTCAATGGTTTAAATACAGATTTAATCACTAAAATGTGAATAAATAGCTAATTTTAAAAAATGATTTCATATTGTGGAAATTTGTTTAAAGTTTTGTAAGTTTGACAAGGATTTTATGGTTTGAAAAATGAAAACGTAATTTATGCGTTTGTTTTTGTATTGAATGAGAGTGTTGGGCAAGGAAGGGATGAAATTGACGCAAGATTTATGACAGGCAAACGAATGAATTTGTTTTGATTTTGTCTGTGTTTGCGTGTTGTGTTGAAGATTTGAAGGGGAAAAGCTTGACCAAGTCTTTCGCATTAGAAATGACCAATGTGTCACGCTGCATGTTATACACTCTCTGTGGACCAAGAAGAATTTTATATGTTGACAGTATCAATACGTATTAATGGATGATTAATTAATAACCATTTGATGTTTTGTCTAACATGTAAATAGTTAACAATTATTATATAATACTGAAATAAAAATCGTATTTTAAAATTTAGAAAGTACAGAATTTTATTTTTAAATTAGAATTGAATTCGTTCATTTAAAAAAAAGAAAGAAAGCAGAACATATTTTATCAATGGTATAATTGAGTTGTGCTTGAAAATTTTTTGTAATCAATGAAAAAAAGGCGCGCACTTTCAAATAATGAAATAAAAAAACTATTAAGCAATGCTGTTTTTATCATGGCCTTTAGTTCTTTGATGGAAGAAACTAAAGGTATTAAAATCGATAATAGCTTTCTCTTCCTCTGTTATTGAAAATGATACGTTAATTAAAGAAAACATAGGCATTCTCTCTTTTAGTTGTTAATGTGTTTTTTTGTAAATTTGTTATTTTTTACTTTAGGAGAACAAGTATTTAAGTTCGCATATTATACGAGAAAAATGTGTTACTTGATTCGAATATTTTCCAAGAGAAAGTGTAGGGATTGTTTTTAAGGTCACAGTATGACAAGGACTTATACAAAAAAACTTACAAATAATTTATTAACAAATAGTTATCGATAAGCTTTTAAGCCATTTTTTCATTAAAGTAGTTTGAGTGTATCTTTAATTTGAGTCGTGACATGTATATAAGTAAAAAGATTCAAATAAGGGTAGATTTTTAAGATTTAATGTGAATCTAAAGTTCTACATTGAAAAAAAAATGAATAAGATTATTAGTATACAAGAATATAGACCTATGAACCTGTTAACGAGAAGAAATTGTTAGGATTTAATATGAGTTTGAACTTCCATATAGACTAAAAATGAGTAAGATCACTAGTATATAAGTAAAAATGATCCAAAAAACCAATTAAAGAGGAAATTGACAAGATTTATTGAGTATAAAGTCTTACATCAGATAAAAATGAATAAGATGACTAGTGTATAAGTAGAAAGACTCATAGACCAATTTAGGAGGATTATAGAGATTTAACGTTGGTTTAGAGTCCAACATCAATTAAAAGTGAGAGTAACATAACTAGTTGGTTAAAGTTAGGATGACTATATTGTAGTGATTTAACGTTGGTACAAAGTCCTACATCAATTAAGAATGAGTAACATGACTATTTAGTTAGGATTATGGTCAGAGTTCGAGTTAGGATTTAGTGGAAGGATAAAAATGACTAAATTAACTAATATATTAGTGGATAAACCTAGAAGAAAAAAACTTAGGACTAAACTTGAGTTTGAACTCTTATTTCAAGTGAAAATGAGTATGACTATTATATAAGTAAAAGGGTTAGAGTTAGTGTTCAAGATAAAAATAAGTATGATGAATAGATAGGGAGAATGGGTTAATGTTACAATTTGAGGTATAAATCAAACCATAGCATAATATTGGAGATATTGATTTTAATTATTATCAAATATATTGTTTAAATTGTTACAGTCATATCTTTATTTAATTGAAAAGTATTGAAAAAACACGTCAAAGAAATCAAATCATAACATAACATCAAGATATTAGATCTAATTATTATCGTGAATATTACTTCTAATTATCAAAACCGTTTTCTTAAAATAAGAAATTTCAAAATATTTTCTCATAACATAACATGTCTTATGAATGGTGTAAAAAACAAAGGGTAGGGGAGATGTATAAAACTATTAGATTGTTGTGCTCATGATGTGATAATTAAACACAAATTGAATTATTCCTTGTCTCTATTTTTTAATTTAATTTATTTTATTATTATTATTTTTGTTATCATTTTTTATTTTATTATATATTTTTATTCCTTTTTATGCTAAAACTAAAGTTTGAAAATCTAAAAAAAATCTTTTATTTACCTGTCATTAATTGAAAGCATTTATTTTTTTGTTTTTTTTTAGGTTTTGAAAATGAGTTTATTTATTAGAACGAAATTGGATATTAACACATAAGTTAAGGTTAGAGTGAAAGTTAGGGTGAAAGTTTAAGATTTAAAATAAAGGATCTAAGGTTAATTAATCATGAATAGTTAATCACGGTTAGTTAACCATGATTAGTTAACTGTGTTTAGTTAACCGTAATTAGTTAATCATCTTAGTTAACTGCCTTAATTAATTGTTCTATTTAATCGCCTTAGTTAACCATCCTAGTTAATGGTCTTAGTTAAACGTCCTAGTAAACTGTCACAATGGCTAAAAATTCAACCATTAAGAATTATCAAAACAGACTACCCGACCCAACCCAACCCAACTCGACCCATTACGGGTTGATCACTTAGTGAGTCAACTCAACTTGACTTACTTATTAGTGAATCAAACAAATTTGAACCCAACCTGACTACCATGGGTTAAAAAGGTTGACTCACTGACTCACTTAATTACCGTATGAAAAAAATAACAAATTTTCTAATTAAAATCTAAATATAGAAAGAGTCTTAAATTAGATGTATAATCAATTAAACATAAGATTTAATTCACACAAAAATATCACAATCTCAACAATTTTTTTAATGACTTCATAGCAATTCAAATTTGTTTTTGCATAAAAATTAAGTCAGTAAATATAGAATTTTGGATTTTTCATGTATAATAATTCCATACAAAAATAATTTCACTCAATTTTAATATTTTGTAAAATGACTAACAAAAAAAAATACTTATTAAAAAAATTAGGTGAATTGGTAAGCTAACCCAATTCACCTCATGTTTAATTCAGGGGTGTTGCTCCCTCCACCTCCACAGCCTTCTCCCTCCACCTCTCCAATTATCTTTAATTCCAATTATCTTTAATTCCAATTATATCCTTAAAGTTAAAATTTTATATTTTTATTATTTTATTATTTTAATATTTTAATATTTAAATATAAACTAATATAAATATACATTATTAAAATACATTAAAAAGATATTCAAAAATAATAAATCAAAATATTAAAATATCTAATAAAATAATAACAGAAACATAAAATTAAAACAAACCTTAAACGGATGACATCCTTTAACGGATGTCATCCGTTTAGACTTCGTTTTCATTTTACGTTTTAGGGTTAGAGGATTATTGGAAAGATTATTGGAAGGATTATTGGAAGGGTTTAGGGTTTAGGGTTTAGGATTATTGGAAGGATTATGACTACGTACCTGGAGAGGAACCACGACAAGCACATTACACCACAAACGCACTGCACCACGTACTGCACCGAAAGCAAGAGGAAGATTGCTTGATAATTCTTTTCACGATCACTGAGCTTTGCAGAAAAATATTTTACTCATACAAAGAACTACGTAGGTTATCAGTGAAATATGTTATAAATGAGTAAAATTAAAAAACAATAATTCTAAAAATAAAATTTTACTGAGGGGCAAAATAATAAAGGGAGGTGGAGGGAGAAGGCTGTGGTGGTGGAGGGAGCAACACCCTTAATTCAGATGAGCCTGATTCTTAATGAAGTAGGTTCAAAATTGATTTGTGTCAAAATTTCAAATTTCTTTTCAATCTAACTCGACTCAAACACATGTAGTCTCACAGATTTAAACCTAATTTCACAACACTACCATAAGGGAATGGAAAGGAAGTTAGGGTTGAGTCTACAAAGTTAAGAACAAAAATCACAGTCCAGGACAATAAACGAAAAGTGTGAAGGCAAAGACTATCTTAAATTATTCATGGATGCCAAATGACGTTAAATCAGATCCAAGACAGTCATTCCAGTTCAAACCCATTAATAAAGCCATGTGACTGAATATAATAAAAATTATTCTCTCCCAAATGGGCAATCCCTACTCAGATGACGACAGATCCTGATAATCTGGCCGAAAATGAATAAAAATGACAGGATGCTATTGCCCAGATTATTAGACAGCGGCTTGCAAGGATGCCCGAGCAATCTCTAGAGCCTCCTCCACTGTAGTTGCGTTTTGAAGTTTAGCTATGTCAATCAGAGGTTGATTTCTGGCGAGTTTAGGCAGGAGTTGAAATTCCTGAGTTAAAAAACCAAAAAACAGCATTAGGTTTTCTTTTTCAATGATCCCACGTCTATTGATATGAATTCTCAATTATATACGACTAGTTTTGAATATAAATTCTGTAATTTACTAGTGTAATTGTATAGAAAGAGAACTTGGCTCTACTTAGATAAACTTCTGCTTAAATATAAATACTATGAGAAGAAAATGAGATAAAATGGTTTGAACTTTTTCCGTAATCGA